TCAATTACGCATCGATACCTGTGTCATAAGAAACCCCCCTTTTTAAATGAAATGTCCCTTTTTTCCCTTTTAATAATNGGGACTATTAATTACGTAAGAGTGTCGAATATTCTTGAATTTTTATCAATAATGCATCGATACCTGTGTCAAAAGAAAATCCCCTTTTTTATTGAAATGTCCCTTTTTTCCCATTTAATAATTTTTGTTGCAAAATATCCCTCAAATAGGGAAATTACCCACAGTCTGGCATCACTGGTTTCACCTTGTATAAATTCGCCTTGTATCTATGTATCATGTGTATGTATGCGTTTTTCCCATGATACAAAAAAGAAGGTAGTTTCATTACTACTATTTTTTGATTATAAAGCAGATTTTTGACATATGTACAGATGTAAACATTAAGCAGAGCATTGCCACTTTGAAATTTTTCGAGAGGGGAGATTTTCTTTTAAATATTTGGAATTTAATGAAAGAGTAAAATTTACATAAAAAAATAGCAAGTTGATGTGTTCGATAATCACATTTGAACGTTTTTCTCAAGCGTTTAAAATATCCTTTGAATAATATCGATGTGCAGGGATGAAGAAATAAAACATAATCTAGTTTTGAAACATTTATAATAACTAATTTTATTAAAACGCTTTTTTTATTTTATTTTAAACAAAATAAATGTATTTACATAACAAAACTGTTAGATATTTTGTCATTAAAGCATGGTCCGAAACCAGGCTTCGGAAAAGGTTGAGTGGTCTCATTACCCTAACAATTAAAGGAGCCAAAACTCAGAATTCTCCTGAAGTGAAATATCTAGAAGTAATTCTGTATACAAAACTATCGTGGAAATCTATTGTGGAACACAAAACTTCTAAAGAATTAGCAGCATTTTGACAATGTAAAGAGGTCTGTGACAAAACGTGGGGCGCGTCACCATAGGTAATCCTCTGGATTTATACCTTAGAGCCATAATTATATATGCGTCAGTGGTATGGTGGAGCAGATTCTCAGTCAAGAGCGTGGGAGGTCTGCTTGCAAAACTTCAAAGAACTACTGCCGTGTGCGGTACGAAATAGTTCTCTACAATACGTGGCGTTGCTCTTGCTGCACTGCTGCACTTACCGTCATTAACTTTTTTCTTGGCAAGTATGCTTCGGTCTTCCAGGCTGAGGTATTTGCAATCCTTAAGGATATGGACTACGTGGTGGAAAATGGGTACAGCGGAAGGAGTTTACGTGACGGCCAAGCTGCACTTAACACACTACTTACTTCCAGACTCCGAGTGCCAGTTCAATCGGGAGTACCTCCTATCGTCCATAACTATAATATTTATCATATCATGATTTCAATTATCGCATATCGAAATTTCTTTTTAATTTTGTTAATATTTTTTTTACAGTAAATAAATGATTATTGAGGACTAGGTATGGCAGCACGAAATGTCACAATCTGCTTAATTGTCAGGTAGTTAATATGGCGCCCGAAAAGTGACAATGAAACTACCTTCTTTTTTGTATCATGCGTTTTTCCATTGTATAAATTCGCCGTGAATGGTTTCTGACATTTGTACCAATGTACATACATACATACATTCCTCAAAGTGAACGTAGTACGGTAGCTCGAATTAAGCTGAAATTAGTCAAGAACGTAAACCTACCGGTACGTAAACCCGAGTCAGCTGGCACGATCTGTCTTACCAGAGCGCCATGTAAATGAAAACTCAACACCGCACAATTTTTCTGTAGTTGTAGTCCGTAGCGCAGAAATCTGCGGAATTTAGATTTTTCCGTGTCAGCTGATTTCTTCCTTCTATAGATGGTTGTCACTTCGTCAGTTTCGCAGATGGTAAAAAAGGTATAATTTCCTATTCAAAATACGTTTAAAGTATTTGAAATTTACTATTGAATAAAGTTTTTTTGTTGAAAACTACGTAGTTTATATTTAGCTACGATCTATTATAGCACGAAAAAATGTAGTTGAAAAGGTAAGTTTATGAAAAGGCATTAATGAGTGGCAACACTGTAGTAAGCAAGACTGAGGGCTTCAGTAATCGACAAAATTCTGCGTATACAGACTGCGTTTAAGTATACGTTCTGCGTTCTTGACTAATTTCAGCTTTTGTGAACCGTTCCATCATTAGTTTTACTCGCTGGGCGTAATAAAATAAATACACTTTTAAATACTTAAAGATGCATTGTCGTAAGCGAATATCAATGCATTAATTTTTAAAAGTCTGTCACACACTTTGATGTAAATTCATAAGCAAACATGATATTTATTTATTTTATAACCAAAGGGTTCTAAAATTCAACATATGAATTCTGCTGCTTATGAGCTACCCTGTTTTTAGCCAAGTATCACCTACAGTGGCATCTAAACTTTTTTGTTTGGGTGGCAGGCTAGTTGTAGGGTTGCGAGAATGGCTAAAAACTCTCCAAGAGTAGATTAATACGTTTTCGACAACTTCATGCAATGAAGTTGAACTGCTAATTACGAATTAATGGAAATGATCGTTTTCATAAGAGAACTTAATATTGGCACTTCCAAATATAATAAATGCAATTTACATTTTTCGAAGTGATAAAAATTTAACTTTGCCAATGCATCCCTGCATAATGGAATGTATGGCACTTGTGGGATCCACCCTTCATTTTTGTGGGACGCAAACCAACATTAAGCCGCATTTACACGTCTTACTGCCATACCTAAACAAAAGCGTTGGGAGGAGCGGTTTCTGACGCCTAGCGTTAGCGCCGAAGTCCATACCTAAACAAAAGCGCCAACGCTACGTCAAATGCTGAAATAACACCAACAATAAGCATAGGTCTGTTTGTGTGCAACACGAAAATGACAGTTTCGACGTTTTCTGCAGCCAACTTCAATATCTAACGCCCTGTCAAAATCGGATTTTCCAACCGCTCAGCGTTGACGCCGCGTTGTTTCGGTATGCTTCATACAAATTGTGTGGGCATGAGAATTTTTCGACAGCCAGACAACGCTGACGCTTTTGTTTAGGTATGGCAGTTAGTTTGTGAAGACAAATAATTGAAAATAATGCGACGCTCACACTTACAAAATCCTGTTTTATCCCCTGAAAGAAAATTATTATGCCAAAAACTTAGAGATTTTCCGCCTTAATTACTCGCCACCCAACAATATTTAAATAGATGGCTCCCGGTTCGAACGGATCGTAAAAATATACCCATTTATTGCAGCAACTATGACTCGCTTCACCCAATTGCGCAAAAAAGCGGCACAACACGCACATCGCTATCCTCAATCGTGTCGCTTATGCAACGGAAAACAACCGATAAGGCTATGTCCGGTCTACAGGGCAAAAACTCCTGAGGAGCGACTTCGCGAAGCATTACTTGGGAAGTTTTGTATTAATTGCCTCGCAACTACCCATCGCGCGGAAAACTGCGCGGATGCCGCCGGTGCCATGACAAGCATCACACCACACTTCATTTGGACCCAGTGGACAGGAGACCTTTCTTGTCTGACGCGCGAGGCAAAACGACTTCCAAATACAACCATCAGACACTTACATGGCATTTTATACCTGCTGCCGCTCCTCACATGGGAGGACTCTGGGAGGCAGGTGTAAAAAGCTTTAAAAGCCACTTTAAAAAGGTGGCGTCCGCTCACAAATACACCTTTGAAGAGCTCAGTACGCTTTTATGCCGGATTGAGGCATTCCTCAATTCGAGACCACTGAGTCCCTCTTCAAATGAAATGGCTCCGCCAGAACCTGATGTGAATGAGAACCCTGCCTCCATCGTCAATCGATGGCAAAAACTAAAAGCACTACATCAGACGTTTTGCAGGCGATGGAAAATGGAGTACTTAGCCAAACTACAAAAGCGAATTAAATGGAAGCACCCCAAGGAGAATATGAAAGCAGGTGACCTCGTCGTTATCAGAGAAGACAATCTACCGCCAACTGAATGGAGATTGGGGCGAGTTGTAAACCTACACCCTGGCACCGATGGCAGAGTGCGTGTAGTGGACATCCTGACGGAGAAAGGCCAAGTCACTAGACCACTAGTGAAGTTGGTTCTACTCCCGCCATACAACGATGGAAACTCGGAGCCAACAACCACTTTATAAACTACCCTTCATATGCCTTTATTATATTCCACTTCCTTTTACCATAACATTCCACTTCTAGGTAATAGGAGGGATTCCTTGTCTAACTTTTTTTTTTTAGAAAATTTGTTTCAGATTTCCGGGTTGATCTGGCTACACAAAAACGACCATCCTCAGATCTGAATCCATAGTAAAAATAATTGCAGAAGTAGCGAGATACTCTAGCTACTAAGTTTAACGACGACTTCTCGTACTTACGAGTTCTTTCAATGTTAACGTAAACTATTCGCAAACTTGCTGGTTTTCTACACTCTTAGTTTCCAAATTATATTTACTTGGCCAAGCTTAAAGGCAATATCCCGCCCGAAGTTAGAAAGTAAGAATTTGAAGAAAAACTAGCAATCCTTATATTTAAAAACTCACATTTCTTCGGTTCCAAAAGGGTTCGGTTAATAACACTGTCAATCAGCTCCTCTCTGCTTTATCAAACTATGCGCAGTATAGTATATCGTTATACCCGCCATCCGTGAGAAAAAAGAAAACCAACTATATTAGTTCTCAACTAAATGGTTAACAGACTAAAGCAAAAGGATAACCACATACAATTATGTTGCCAGACAATCGACATCTCCAACCGAAATGGTGATGGCATTAAAGGAAGATCAGGTTACTGCCCCGAAGGGAACCGTCAGCTGAACTGGGGCCCAGAAGCCAGACTAGAACCCGCACCATTAAGCACATGATCCTACAAAAGTTCGTTTGGGTTTCGATTAATCAGGCAGCCTGCCTCTATCCAATGGACCACCTTAAGTTTAAATACATGTTGAAACATAGAATCGAGCGGTCGGCCACCTTCTCCAATAGCATATTTTTTCTGAAAAAAATTAACTATTAGAACATAGCTGTTGGACGTGGCGTTAAAATGAAAAAATAAAAAAATCATAGTTGACGCATACGAGAGGGTACTTGTAGTGGACGTTTGACTATCCCGTAATCAAATAGGGCTTGTAGATTCTTATATCATTCTTGATCTATAAGAAAAACTAAGTGGTTCCGACTTAAAATAAAAATCTTTAACAAAAATATATTGCCTTGGCCAATATATTAGGTTACGTTACGTAAATTGAGTCTAAACTAACTGAACCTTTTTCCTGTAGATCATTCTTCGTTTTCGGCACTGCTAATTATTCGGTCCGTATTGTGTACATAAGTGCCAATGGAGAATTTAAAAATGGCAGGTTTATGATTTATCCCACACTTAGCCTACTGTCATCGTAAAAAAGCAAGATGTAATTATCTACCAAACTTAAAAACTTTTTTTGCAACACTTGATAGATAAGTAGCATGCTTTTCCTTGCTTGATAGACCTTGCTCATGATCAAATTCACAAAAAGGAAACTTAGAAATTGCTGACTGTTCTAAGAATTTATAAATTTCTTACCGTTTTCCCCAATATTTTAGTTCAATAATCAACATCAGTGCGTCGTAATGTTATTTCATAATAATGTGTATATGTTGTCCGCGAGGTTTTCTGCCTAGTGTGTGCCACGAGTAGGGTTATAGCACGGTTTTATCTTTTCCTTGGAAGGACCTCCATCGATACTAAACTGATATATCGAGCCCTAACCGCCAAAATAACGTAAGCGACATTTTTTTCAAAATTTCCTTTTTGATGCAGAAATGCATCTAGATGCTCTAGGAATATTTCTGCATCAAAAAGAAAATTTCGAAAAAACTGTCGCTTACGTTATTTTGGCGGTTAGGGCTCGATATATTGCCTGCAGCAGTTCCTACATATACATCCGTTTCTAAAGTGTTTGCTACTACGCTGTGTAATGCTTCCGCAAAACGACATTTAACAGCTGTATACCAGTAAGTAAATCATATATTTTGCATGTACGATTCAGTGAAACTGTTATCATATGCCCTCGTATGCCACCAATCCAATGTGCACGTCTGTTACAGGAAGACCATAATCAGTGAAAGTATACATTGGTGCTTGATTGTCGTCATCTCGCGCATACACAGTCGTCAAGTTCCACACCATGACAGATTCATCTTGGCAAGCTGTAAAAAAATGCGAGTCCTCGTCAAAACGTATACAGTTGATGGGTTGAAAATGCTTTGAAATTGTGTTCAGCATCTTCCCGGCGACAAGTGCCAAATGTAGACGTTTTCCTGAATTGCTGCCACAAGATAAAGAGTATCAGGTGAAAGTGACATTGCGTTGGCCCGACCAGGCAACACGAAGCCTACATGGGTCACTTGCTGTTGTAAATTAAAAAGCCAAACGTGCAGAAGAGGCTTGGTGCTATTTGCAGCTACGACATAGTGGCCCCTCAATAAAGAAATGGCGCGTTGTTGGACGACGCCACCCCCCTTGTGCACCATTAAGTTGGTTCCTGTTCTGTAGTCCCACGCAGTAATGGATGCTCGAGACTCTATGGCGCGTATTCATAGTCCAGCAACTAAGTCGAAACTAACAAAGTTGCAACTTAAATTTAAGTACTAACTTAAAATTTACCTCTATTCATAGTCGCATTTCAGACTTCTACTAAGTAGTTTCGACTTAGTTTACGATATAGCAAAACGAGTGTGAAAATGTATCGATTTTTCTTTACGATATTTTGGAAAAATTACATTTTTATTAAATAATGTCAAGTTTGATCATCCGTTTATGTAATTTTTATTTTCATTGCATGATTATGCAAAATAGTAAGATACCATTTTCTTGTTAATTGTGTGAAATAGCCAGAACAACCGCAGTGATGTGAAGTCGATGTTTATCGAAAGCATGCTGTGAAACATACAAATAGTAGATATCTAAATGTTATGCACACAATTAACAAGAAAATGATACCTTATTATTTTGCATAATCATGCAATGAAAATAAAAATTACATAAACGGATGATCAAACTTGACATTATTTAATAAAAATGTAATTTTTCCAAAATATCGTAAAGAAAAATCGAAACATTTTCACACTCGTTTTACTATATCGTAAACTAAGTCGAAACTACTTAGTAGAAGTCTGAAATGCGACTATGAATAGAGGTAGATTTTAAGTTGGTACTTAAATTTAAGTTGCAACTTTGTTAGTTTCCACTTAGTTGCTGGACTATGAATACGCGCCATTATACTCATTCGATACATGGTTCTTCCAGCAATTAATCCCTGCATCGCATATTTTTTGCTGGCTAAAATAGCATATTTTTTGCTTGCTAAAATAGCATATTTTGTGCTGGCCTAAATAACATATTTTTGCTGGCCAAAATAGGTAAAAATCTTTCTCCCTATACAGTGTACGAAGTTCTGAGCACAAATCCGGGGTGGGCTTTAGTAGTCAACCGCACCTTGTGTTTTAAGAAAACCAGGTGGAATTAACAAATGAAACTTGGTCAAGATGTTAAGGGAGGTATCTTCTAACATGTATGTTGTTGTTAAAACTTCTTAAGTCGTTCCACTTGGTTTCCTTAACAAAAAGTGCATTTGTCACATACTTTCATATATATAAATGCACATAACACTGTACTTAATACTTTACACACTTTTATTTTACTTTATTTTGTTTATAAATCACTTTAATTCAACTTTTATCGACTCGTAAATTACATTGAATTGCACCCATATTTACAATAACACATGGTTTCAAACTGATATATAACATGTGTTGCCATATTGTACAAAACAATACATACAAAGAAGGCAATGTTTAAAAAGGAATACAGGGGAAATCAATACAAAAGAAAATGAAAATTTACCGCTACTTTTATTCTGGGCGTGTATTATTATCAATGAGGGTTTCCAGTCACGAACCCCTGTGCAAAAATATCGCCCATGACGTAGGCGGTGTTGGTCCCGCCCGATTTGTTTGCTTTAAGTTCGGTCGAAGGCCGCCTACGCAGAAAGGTGTTCCAAAGAACGTAAATCTATAAGAAGAGACAACACGTTATAATTGTAGCGAGTGTGAACATCAGGAGCGTGCCTTCTCTTTTCCCCAAATACGTTTCTAGATTGGATGAAAAGAGAAGGCCCGCTCCTGATGTTCACACTCGCTACAATTATAACGTGTTGTCTCCTCTTAGACTGCGTTTATACACGGAAACTTTTGTCGACGCGATTTTTCACATTCCCTTTTGGTGTTGCTACTTTCATTTACACATGACGCTTTTTGTGTATGCAATTGTTGTTGTCAGCTGTGAATCGCTAACTCAATTTACACAGACGAACGAGAGCACAAAGCGTGTTGCCCGAGCACGAGCAACTCGGTGCCCCTCTCCTTTCCTCGTCACGCTCTCTCCTACAAACGTCGAGCTGCGGCCGTGTGTAAATGAGCACTTATAGATTTACGTTCATTGGGTGTTCTCTGCAAAAGGTGTTCAGCTCCTTTTCTTCGCAAAACAGAAAGGAGAATTCTACTGCCTGAGAGTTATAATCCCTAAGTGCGGCCGAAGGCCGCCTACGTTGAAAGGTGTTCTCTGCAAAAGGTGTTCAGCTCCTTTTCCTCGCAAAACAGAAAGGAGAATTCTACTGCCTGAGGGTCACAATCCCTGAGTGCTGCCGAAGGCCGCCTACGTAGAAAGGTGTTCTCTGCAAAAGGTGTTCAGCTCCTTTTCTTCGCAAAACAGAAAGGAGAATTCTACTGCCTGAGGGTTATAATCTCTAAGTGCGGCCGAAGGCCGCCTACGCAGAAAGGTGTTCTCTGCAAACGGTGTTCAGCTCCTTTTCTTCGCAAAACAGAAAGGAAAATTCTACTGCCTGAGGGTTATAATCCCTAAGTGCGGCCGAAGGCCGCCTTCGCAGAAAGGCGTTCTCTACAAACGGTGTTCAGCTCCTTTTCTTCGCAAAACAGAAATGAGAATTCTACTAAATGAAAATTCCGAATTAAAAATCCGCTTTTATTATTCAAAATTCCAGTCTGGTAGCACCAAGTTGTATGTTAGTTTGCTATCTTATTCATCGTTTATATGAAAACTTTAACAATAAATTATATAAGAACTATAGGGTTGCTAGAAAAAGTTTTTTTTTGAAATCAGGAGGCCCTATTCTACCCCCCTAAGCCCCCCCTTTTCTAGAATTTGCCGTCCGTCTACTAAAATTTTCCCCAAATCCGTCGATTCCTTGGAATCAGTAATTTTTTTATTTGCTGGAAAATAACGCCAATATAAAATACCCCAAGCAACCTCCCGTAATTAAGAACAAATTACATTCAAACATAGCTATATAATACGCATACTCACCTAACCTTAAGATTATGCAACCGCCGCATGCCAGAACAATAGTATAATTGAAAGAAATATGAATTCGCCGTGTATGTATACGGATTTCCTTTGAATTCATTCTGACATTTTTTGCAATGAAAGAATATCGTTTCACCTCATGGTGTAATGAACTGAAGGTGGCGCATTCCCGAAACCGCTACTTTGGTTTTGCCGACTTTGACGTTTATGGCAATACGTAAACAAACTTTTTGTTTATAAACAAGTGCAAACGTATTGCAAACGTATTGTGTACTTTTAAGTGAAAAACCGAAGTAATTCGTGCATTCTGAATTAAAATACGTTTTATTTGTAATAAAAACTTTATAAAAATGTCGTGTCGTGTGTTGAATTGCAGCAGCCGTAGGGGCAAAGGCCCCAAATGCAGTTTTTTTTGTTTCCCGCGACGACGCCTTGACCAGAAAGTGGGTAGAGTTCTGCCGGCAGGAGAAGCCATACAATTTAGACACCAGCGTAATATGCATGAAGCACTTTACGGACCACTTTTAAACACGACATGTTAAGTTGAAAACGTTGAAATACCACAAATTACAAATTAAAGTCGGAGGTAAGCAAGCATCGACCACTTTCTGCAGGAAAACATGCGCTGCGACAAGATATCACTTTTTCGGCACTTGCAATACAAACACTAAATAGTTAATAAATAAGACCTATTCTTTTGAACGCATTTCAAGAGTGGTTGTATATTTTTTGTTAACGTTGTGCTTAATTTGCCATATTCAAAGATGGCTTGAGAAATTGGTGAATCGTGAAGAAAACACGTTTTCTCACTGCAAATTCACAACTGTCAACTCATTGTTCTTCGCCATATTCTTTGTTTACCCGTTGCCACAAATGTCATTCTGCGGGAATGCGCAATCTTGTATTCTATCGTTCTTGCGTTGTATCTATGTATCATGTGTATGTGTACGTTTTTCCATTGTATAAATTCGCGGTTGATGGTTTCTGACATTTGTACCAATGTACATACATACATACATTCCACAAAGTGAACGTAGTACGGTAGCTCGAATTAGTGAACCGTTCCATCATTAGTTCCACTCGCTGGGCGTAATAATATAAATACACTTTTAAATACTTAAAGATGCATTGTCATAAGCGAATATCAATGCATTAATTTTTATAAGTCTGTCACACACTTTGATGTAAATTCATAAGCAAACATGATATTTATTTATTTTATAACCAAAAGGTTCTTATGAATTCTCTGCTTATGAGCTACCCTGTTTTTAGCCAAGTATCACCTACAGTGGCATCCAAACTTTTTTTTTTTGGGTGGCAGGCTAGTTGTAGGGTTGCGAGAATGGCTAAAAACTCTCCAAGAGTAGATTAATACGTTTTCGACAACTTCATGCAATGAAGTTGAACTGCTTATTACGAATATTAATAGATCAACTCATTAATGGAAATGATCGTTTCCATAAGAGCACTTAATATTGGCACTTCCAAACATAATAAATGCAATTTACATTTTTCGAAGTGATAAAAATTTAACTTTGCCAATGCGTCCCTGCATAATGGAATGTATGGCACTTGTGGGATCCACCCTTAATTTTTGTGGGTCGCAAGCCAACATTAAGCCGCATTTACACGTCTTAGTTTGTGAAGACAGATAATTGAAAATAATGCGACGTTCACACTTCAAAATCCTGTTTTATCCCCTGAACGAAAATTATTATGCCAAATACTTAGAGAATTTCCACCTTAATTACTCGCCACCCAACAATATTTAAATAGATGGTTCCCGGTTCGAACGGATCGTAAAAATATACCCATTTATTGCAGCAACTATGACTCGCTTCACCCAATTGCGCAAAAAAGCGGCACAACACGCACATCGCTATCCTCAATGGTGTCGCTTATGCAACGGAAAACAACCGATAAGGCTATGTCCGGTCTACAGGGCAAAAAATCCTGAGGAGCGACTTCGCGAAGCATTACTTGGGAAGTTTTAATTGCCTCGCAATGACCCATCGCGCGGAAAACTGCACTAGTGCGGAGAGATGCCGCCGGCGCCATGACAAGCATCACACCACACTTCATTTGGACCCAGTGGACAGGAGACCCTGGAGTCAACAGGTGGAAGAAGAAGACGACGAATTTGATGTGATCTCCATTTATGCGTCCGAATCCGGAACGGAAACTCGGTCTTTCCGTCCGGAACCGGAAACCGGAGATGGTATTGGATCCGGAGCGCAGACTCGGACTCTCCGCCCGAACAGTGACAGGGGAGCGGAAACTCGGTCTTTCCGACCTCCACTCAACCACGAGATAAAAGATTGGCTGAATCGGAAACACGGTCTTTCCGATCACGCCAACAGAGGCGACGACCTCGCGGAAACAAAGAGGCTGTATATTGTGTATTCGAGGTAAACACGGCGTAAATAAGCAGGTGGCCACCCACGCACAAATAATAAAAAATTACCGACGAATATCACCACTTAAAAACGTCGACCCGGCCATCGTAGCGACATATGCGCACATTAGACTCGCCGACCCGAACTTTTTTAGGTCCTCTCCGATTCGGATCGTCCTCGGCGCGGATGTCTACTCGGACATCATTATGCCCAGTACTCTGCCGACATCTTTTAGGCCTCTGTTGGCCCAAAGCACAATCTTTGGATATGTACTTTCGGGCGTGTGCCGCACGTGGTAGGTAAATTATAACCCACATTTATTTATTTATTTTTACTGTACAAACATGAATTTCGAATTTTATTTATGTTTTCTTTTATTAATAAAAGTGCATCTGAAAATATCCACGTATCTTTCACTTAATGTTTTTACCTCTTTTCCCCTCAATCAGCAATATAGATGGAAACGGCCATGGAAACGATATAGCGGCGAATGATGAAT